GATTAGTGGTAAGAAAACAGTATTAATAGAGCACAGTAAATGTTAGCTACAAAAATGTATTCAAATATGATACAATACTAAGTGTTACAGCTATTTTTGAATGCCAGCATTTATTTTATTAGCAATGGAACTTAATATAGAAACACATTTTAAAATTGAAAATGTCTGGAGATTATACATGCTCTTATAATTATAAAAAATCCTTTTTTGTATAGAATGTAGCATTGCTGGAGCACATGAAAAAATTGCTGAATGCAAAAAGCAAATTCTTCAAGCAAAACGAATACGAAAAAACCGCCAAGGTAAGGGTTTTGTGAGATTTAGTGTACAAATACTTTATTACTGACCAATATTTTCATGTAATTTTTAATCTTTGAGGTAACATCTTCAACTAGAGTCAACCTGAATTCTAAAAAAGGAATTAGGACCCAAACTTAATCCTTTAAAACCATATTATTCTTTAAAATAGTGAAGAAGAAAGGCTATGCTGGGGGGAAAAAAAAATTCTTTGCTGAGATTTATTATCCAATTATTTCTTGAGTGTTCATTTTTTTTCCTATATTCAGATCCCTTTGTCAAAATAATGTTATAATTAACCAGCAAACACAATTCAGAGTTTTGATAGTTGTTTGTTTAATGGAACTGCTTTCAAAAAGAACTTAAGACCAGAGTTTTTATTAAGTGCAAAGGAAGCAACCATTTACAAGCTGCCTAAATAGCTAATAAAAGTAAGTTTACTGTTTTTGTTCTGATCTCTTTTTAAATTAGGGTATGTTCTTATTGTCCATAAAAACTATTTCAAAATAATTTTTAGTGGCAGAGACATTGCTCCTCCCATAATTTAAACTGAAAATTAAAAAATATAATGTTTAATAATAATCACATATATATGAAAAATTAAAAGGAAATAGAAAATGTTAATGGTTGTTTTGAGTTGTAGGTTTTTATAGGGCTTAGATTCTTCTTTTCCTTCTTTTGTTTTTTTTTTTCCCACTGAGAATGTATTATTTTATAATCCAAAGAATTTTAGCTAAAAATCAATTTTATTGAATATGCTTATTTCTAAAACAATGAATTTTAGTTTTTAGTAAGCTAAATAAATAATGGTATAATGCCTTATTTTTGAAAGTTGGTTTTTGAATTCAGTTTAAAATACATGTGGTCAAGTTCTGGTGGCCAATTTACAGCAAGATATACCAGCTTATTTAATAGTTAATATCAATTCTAAAATGATTTTTATATGCTTTACAGTGTTTCTGTTGATTAAGTAAAGCTTTTAAATGAATGCTGCCATCCATCATTCCATAAGAAAGGTTAACAGGAAAAACATGACTTATCTTGGAGGTCCCAGTAGAGCAGAAACAAGTTAACTGAATTTTAAATCATTTCTAAGTTTCTGAAATCTACCTTTTGAATCAATGAGAAGTGTAATTTGCTATTGTCTAAGATTTGAAATTAATGGTAGGATATGTTTACCTTGATCTTTAATCAGGTGAATAAAGATCCTCTTCAGAATCAGTCCACTTGATCAATAATGCCTTAAGTTCACTTGTATTTATGCTGGCCTCTTACAGTCTTCCCAGAGATAGGTAAATGGAGAAACAGAATGGGACTGAAGTTCTCACCTGGAACACTTTTGAAGTCATGTATCATTATAGTTACAGTTGAGTCAACTGAAACTGGCAATATTCTTTCTATCCTTCCATGGTTTCATTTCTTTATGTACTAGGGAAATGATTAGGAGAGATCTGTGATATCATCAATTTTATTTTCTTATCCTTGTTCAAAAAACCTGAAATTGGTAAATATTTTATATCTTTCAGAATATGATGCTTTGGCAAAAGTGATCCAGCATCATCCAGACAGGCATGAGACATTAAAGTAAGTTTAGAACTTTACTCTGAAATGAACTAATCTGTACAGATAAATGTTTACATATTAGCCTATGAATTCCATTTTTATAGGAATATATGTTTCAAAGGAGGGGTCAGTGTCAATATTACATATTATAATGCCTCTTGATTTGATTTTTCCTTCAATCTTACTGCCTATAGTTCTAAGATAAATAAATATATATGTATCAATACAAAAAATGGATAAAAGAATATGGTCTATTCATATAATAGAATACTAAATAGCAGTTAAAAAGAGTAGATACACACTTTTTAAATACAGACATCAAAAACAATCTGAAAAGAAAAACAGAAGACGCAAATTTTTAATTATTCCTGTTCCTGAAATACATAATCATAACTATAATAAAAGTTAGAGTCCCCCCAAATATTATATACTATACCACATTTACTTAGAAATACAAATATGTGCATTAAAAAGGGATTAGAATGATACACTGATTGCCTGAGTAGGAAGTAGGGAATCAAGGAAGTACAAAGGCTTAGGACAGAAGACTGGGGATAAGGCTTAAAGGACATTTCAAATTAATCTAGTGTTTTATTTCTTTTATCACCTTCCTCCAGCCTCCCCAGAGACAACTTGAAGTACACATGGAAAAAATGTCTAAGTTATCAATTCTTGGGATTTGATATTATCTGTTTTTGTATACTTAAAAATTATGTAAACACTTTAAAATAAAAATAAGTACATATTTAGAAGTTAAGAAATCATACTTAGCTTTAAAAGTCTCATAATGGAGTGCTAATAACTTTTGATCCCTTTTTTATTTTTAAAATACTATTTAGTAACTAAAAAGGTAGGTATTAATTGTGCATTCTGTTCCCTCAGTTAGCAAAATATAACCCTGTTTTATTTTTTTCAGGGAACTAGAGGCTCTGGGAAAAGAATTAGAGCATCTTTCACATATTAAAGAAAGTGTTGAAGATAAGGTATTTGCATAAATAAGTTAGCTTTTGTGATATGTATATGTTTAAAGATCAATCTGTAGTAATTTTTCTCTTGTTAACACAGCTGGAATTGAGACGGAAACAGTTTCATGTTCTTCTTAGTACCATCCACGAACTTCAGCAAACACTGGAAAGTAAGTAGAAATAGTCTCAAATTGAATGTTCATGAAGATTTTTTAAACAACCCAGGGGCATGCCTTCTAAAAGTATACATCTTAAAGAGAGAGTACACCTTCTTGTTCAATTTCAGAACAAGATATAGCTGGATGACATTAGAAGGTATTCATGTTAACTTTCTGCACATACACGAATAGCCTGACTTTGTAGTAATATGTGATTTAAGTACATATTCTGTGGTTTAAATTAAGAGAAAGTCAAGGATGATAGATTTGTAATTTTTCTTGGTTATTATAGTTTCTTCCTATAAAGTAACAATTCAGGACTCAGGCAGGCAGTGATAAGAGAGTGACACAATAGGCACAGAAGCCCATCTATGTAACCAGTGAATGGAGGCTGCTTTGGGGAACAGACTTCTTTATATTGACTATACCCCAGTTGGAAATTTCTTGTTATCTGGTTTTCTGATTGTTTTCAAGAAAAGCCTATGAACTAGACTTCTTATTCTGTGTGTGTGTGAAGTCTAACACATAAAATTTACATTTTGATTCAAATAATAAATAACAGAAATAGCACTTTTAAAACCAAGCACATATATCAAAGATATTTAAAAAAAAAAAAACACTAAACAATCACATGTGGGCTGATTACAGTCATAGGCTGCCATTTTGCTAACTTTGCTTAAATATATTGGCTGATAAAAGATAAAAATGTTTTCATGTACTCATTAAAAACATAATTTAAGCAGGTTTGACTAAGGTTTTACGTTTCTTTTGTAATTCCAGATGATGAAAAGCTCTCAGAAGTAGAAGAAGCTCAAGAATCCAGCATGGAAACAAATCCTAAACCATAGATAGTATCATCTCACTGTTGTCAAGAACACTGAAGTAGCAATCTGATCTCTGTGTGTTTAGAATTTGTTGTGCTCTTGAAAGTTTTGGTAGTGAGCTTTTTATTCTTACACTTAAAAGATAGGATGCAGTATTCAAAAATGTTTAGTAAAATGTTTTCAGTTAGATTTGTTTGTGCTCCTTAGTATTCTAGGTGGTTTTTAACTGGTAACATTGACTTGCTTACAAAATATATTGAAGAATTTGAGAAGATGGCATATGGCATTTCTAGGATATACATGAGAAATAACTCATTTTCTGGAATTGACTCTATTATCACTTTTGAAAATGGAGTCCATGAGCAGGCTTCAGAAGGGCTGTGAACTTATGAAATCATGTACAAAATCATGTTTGTGGTATATTAAAAACCTGGGAGAGGTTTCATGATATTAAGAATCATAGGCTTGAGAGGTAATTACAAGATACAGTCAGTCGATACGAATTACTTCAGATTTCTCTCCTCAACACTTGAGCAACATGTTGGTAAATAAATGTTTTGCTGATAGTTCTCTCTATTGTTTTGTTCTTTAGGATTTGTTTCCAGTAGGAAAAATGTATCAATAAAGTGAAGAAAAGCAGTTTTTGAGAAAAACAGTCTGTTAAGATGGTTGTGCATAAAGGATTCCATGATCTTAAAAATTAAGCTAAGGCTGAATCACTTGTAATTTTCTAAAGTAGTGAATTACATGTTCAGTGCCTGCTGGTTTCCACCCTTATCCATATTTATTTTCGTTCAGAAACATGATACTTTGCATGAATCATACCTTTATTAATGTTACATTTTTATGATTTTAATAAGAGTTTTTATCTTTATAAATGAAAGTTTAAAATTAGCTCAGTAGTTGTTATATTAAAAGTGTCATTATACATTTAAATGCTTCCTCTAATTTTTCCTGGCAAATCATTGGAGAAACTACTTTGCAGAATTGTTATATCATGATAAATGCTTCTATTTTTTCATTATTACTAAGAATAATGATGCAAAAGTCTACTTATACTGATTCAGGATTAAAATCAATTTTTCAAAAAGGATCATTTTTTAAGGACTGTTGGGGAGAATATTTTAGAAACTGCCCTTCTCTCCCACTGATTAATTCACTAGAGAGATTTATTCATAATTATATACCAAAAAAAATACCTTTGAAGATAACTTTTATGCAGTCAGGAACAAATTCAGAAGCAGCAGCAGGTGCACGGGAAACACACATTTTTTAACTTATACTTCCTCATGGTTCTCTTAGATATTCTCTGGAACTGCTTAGAAGATTGAAGTATTTCGTCCCCTAGAAACTCACACTGTTGAAGCTCAGCATGTCTTTGGGCCAATAACTTCATGGATTTATCTGTTACTGTTTCTATGAGATCATCCACCTATGACAGACATACACAAAGAAATGAAGCCATGTGTTGGAAAGCTTTGTCATAACCAAAGGGATGGTTGTTTTTCTGAGGTATGAGTTCAGGAATTGGACATTCTACAAGTCCCAAAGTATTATTGTAATTCAAGTCATAGCAAACAGAGCTTGAAAACATACATTTACCACCCAGTGGTAAAGACATCTCATTTCTTCTCAAAAGAAGCCTATGTGCATGCTTTTATTTTAATTGAATTCCCTTAATATTAGGCACACAGCATCATCCTAGGTGCCCTTAGCAATCCTTTAGCCACTTTTCTAAGCCCCCCCACTAGCATTATTTCTTCATGCTAATCATTAATTTTGTTCCACATCCATGCTGTCTAGCCGAGCAGTGCATTCAGTTAAGCCTGGCCCTCTGATGCTTCTGAAACACATAAGTGAAGGCCTTTGTCCACTACCTGCATTTGAAGCTTTCCTACAGTCAAATCTGATTTCCGGAGGATGTTTTCCATGCCATGTTTCTTTCTTTTAAGTGCTAGAAAGTATGGTCTCTTTTTTGGTGAATATGGAACCTGTCATAAAAATGCAGAAACACATCAGGTTAAGAAGTATCAACATTATTTCTATGACAGTGTTTAAATAAGAATTTCCACCCTTGGGACATTCTCCTTTAAATTGAACATTTCCACATAACAACACTGGGTCAGAGACCATATTCATATTATTCTCCACGCTCCATGTATCTCCTTTGTGCCCAGAGCTCTCTTTGAAGAGATCTGTAGGGCACAGAGAAATGAGATTCTCTGGCTTTGAAAGAATATATAGTAACAGGAAAAAAAGCAGGTCATTCGTAAGTGGAAGAAGAAGAAATCACCTCTTGTAGCTGCTGAGCACAGCGAGGGTGTGGGGCTGCTGTAGACCAGTGCCCCAGAAAGCTCATTATCACTGGATCCAGTTGTTGATTTGGTCTCTTTTCTGCAGGTTTCCTTAGTTTCATGGCAGATATGTCTCCAAACATAAAAAGAAAGCTCTGGGTTCTTTTCACCCCATGCCTGATATTTTTCCTACCATCCCTGACTTGCTGGTTTCAAGCACCTGTCCTAATAGTGCTGCTACTGGAAGTCATTATTAGGTCATGGCTCCTGGCTAATATGCCCTTTTTAGTCTTACTGGGTTCAATTTTCCTTCCCCTTGTGCTTAGTGATTAGCATCAGGACTATTGGGAGACCTACACTAAGTAGGATGTGGGACTGCATCTGGGTCCTACCCTTTGCCTGAGTTTACAAGCGAGTCTGCTGAATCACCACTCTGTCCTGCCAGGTGGCCCAGGCTCAAAAATGACTTGCAGAACCTGCCCCAGTCCATCCTCAGGTGTACTCCTCTTGTCTGTTTCACATGAAACCTAAGTACTTACCAGATTTCTTAACTACTAAGTTATTTCTGTGTTTGTTGAGTACCACTGTCGTACAGTTAAATGCCTTAGAAGGGCCAAGCAGGTTTTATAAAACAGGCCAGTATGGTTGGTATGAAGTGGCTGGTGTGACCATGCCTCCTGCAAAGGGGGTAGCCCCTGTGTAACTCCTGCTATCGACATGAGGAATTGTGGGCCAAATCTTCCTATATTAAAAAAAAAAAGCTAAAGCCCAGACTTACTTGAAATATTCTAATTTTTAAGTGCAGACTATTTGATTTCAAGTATATTTTTGAGAACATTCTGACAGCTGAACAAAACCCTTCTATAGCCAGTGGACAAAACTGATTTAATGTCTTGATGAACGGGAATTCTTAATTTTAATATAATCAAATATATCGATCTTTTCCTCTATGCTCAGTGATGTTTGTGTCCTAAGAGGTCTTCTTCTATATAGAGGTCATGATGATACATTTATTGTCCTCCAAAAGTTTTTAAGGTTTTACCTTTTCCACACAGATCTACAACCCAACAGGAATTAATCTTTGTATATGGTCTGAGATAGGGATAATTGTTGTTGCCATATGGATGCCCACTTATCCCAGAGCCATTTACTCAAAAGACCAGTATTACCCCACTGCTCTGTAGTGCCACGGTTTAATGTCTATCCTTTCTATTAACCTATTTGTTTCACAGCACAGGACTATGTCCATCAGATTACCTTTATAGCCCCAAACCTAGAAATTGCCCAGCACATGATAGGGATACAAGAAATATGAACCTAGCACACAAGAAGCAAAATTCAAAACTAATATTGGTTCACTCTGACAGCAATACTCTAGAACAGCATTATTTAGTAGAACTTTCTGCAAAAAATGGAAATTTTCTTTATGCACTGCCCAATGCAACAGCTGCTAGCTATACGTGGTGACTGAGTAACTTGAAATGAACTTGTAACTTTATTTAATTTCAATTAGTCACCTGTGGCTATTGGTCACCATATTGGCCAGTACAATTACTATCTTGCACAGCAGTCAAGAGTAAAGGACTTTAGAGCCAGATCTTGCTGGGTTTGAAGGCTGGCACTGCCACTTATCTAGGCAAATTACTTAAACTCTCAGTGCCACTCCTAAAATAAGGACGTATTGCTACCCACTTCATAGGATTGTTGTAAGAATGATCTGAGTTGGTATTTTTAAAGCACTTAGAACAAGGCCTGGAACATAGCTTTAAGTAAATGCTTGTTGTATTTAAAGTAATAATAGTTCAGGATACTAAAAAAATAGGCTGGGCACTTGAGGCTCAAATGTTCATAGTTACAGATACGTAAAAGCTTTTGTTTAGAGAGTCCCAGGTGGTCTTGTGTTGCATTGTCTCTACTACACATGGCTATTTATATTTCAATTTCAATTAAAATGAAATAAAACTAACAATTCAGTTCTTCAATTGCACTGGCCACATTCCAAAGTCTCAAAAGCCACAATGGGATCATGACTATGACACTGGACAACATACACTTGAATCCTTGCAGAAAGTTCCATCATGCAGTGCTAGTCTAGTGAATTCCTCTCTAGTGAATTCAACACAGCAAACAACAGGCCACATGCTAATATACCAACTTGATATTTGAACAGTTGAAAAAGTCATTTTGAAGCTCAAAACTCCACTATTGCCCAGACTGTAGTAGAAGCTGAACAGTTTGTGCACAGAAATGGAATCAGACCTGGAAAATCTGCTTTCTGAGACCTAAATTCTTGTAAAGGAGACATGGACAGCAGGTTTAAATGCTTTTTTTATATGAGAACATCGCTTTTACAACACTGACTTAAGTGTAAGTATTTAGAGGCAAATTTGTTTCAGCATTTTACCTTCTGCAGCCCTGAAGGAAGGGATGTCACAGATAACCGCTTGGTGGTTCTCCGGGCGCGGAGAAGGGTGTTTCCTTGGGTTATCTCCTCTGTCTCCGCTTCTACAACATCAAGCTGTATGGTTGCTTAGGGAGAAAGGGAGGGAAGACTGTCAGGGTCACAGTTATAAAGAGAGTCTTCCTATTAGAACATACTCTGAAAAGATGGCCTTCCATGTTGCCTTGTAGCTTTTCTCCTTGGGGTTAAAATAAATGGATCTGCTTTTTATAATCTTAATTTTCTCCTGTACACACTTACCTTTTCTTGCAGCTGTGACCCCAGTGGTCACTAACCTGTCTTGACAAGATGTTTAGCTCTGTCTGAGACTTCGATTTTGCCTCCATTGCTTTTCCCTTTAACTACTGTAGAATTAGAAAAGGTAAGCTAACCCTGTGATGTGTAAGACGATCCCTTGAGAATTTACAGTTGATAGAAGCAATCTCAGTTACTGACTCAAGATTCACATACTATATTAATAGTCTTTCCCATTTTTCAGGAGCCATGTGAACTCCAGACTCCCTAATATTTTTTATAGCAATTCAATTCTTAATACAATAAATCCATTTATAAAGAAACTTTAGAACACTACCATAAATCAAAAAACAGTCTCATAAATTGGCATGAAAATTAATATGATAAAAACAAAACCATGTCAGCATCTGCATAAGGCACTAAATCTGAGGTTACCCTCCTTTTTATTAAAAAAGAAAAAGGCGAGCAAGGAAGCTTTTTCCTTGATGTAGTCAAAGGGATTGATGGGCTTTGGGAAGAGTTGTTTGCAATTCCTTCCATTTCATTGTCTCCCTGCCCCATGAAAGCATCTTGTTTTGAAGCCGTTGATAAAGGCCTTTCTAGGAGCTGTGGCTCCTAATGTCAATGAATGGGGGCTCTGCCTTCAAAGCAAGTGTCCAACCCAGGGACTCTTCCACCCCCTGCCCTCAGCTGCTCAGCTCTTTACCAAATCTTATAACTTCTACCTGTGAATATTTCTTCCTTCATCTCCCCACTGCCATACTAACCCAAGCTAATACCATCCCTTGCCTGAATGAATGTTATGACCTGTTTATTGTTCTTCCTGCGCCCTCTCTTGCCCTCCTCCAAACCAGTCCCTATTCTACAGCCTGAGCTATCTTTTAAAAACGGAAACCAGATTATATAAATCTCCAGCTTGAAAATATCTGATGATTTCTTATTATCCTTAGGAGAAAGTTAAAAATTCTTAATGTGGCTTTCAACACCCTTACCACTTAATTCAACAGCTTCTGCCTAGTTGGATTACTTTCATTTCTTAATTACACCTGGTGCTCTCTTGATATTGGGACTTAAATATGCTCTCCCCTCTCCCAGGGAAACTGTTTCTCCCCACGCCACTTATTAACTCCAGTTGCCCCTTCAGCTCTCAACTGAGTTGTCCTTTCCTTTCTTGTTCTCTCTCCCCTAAAGTTAGAGCACCAATGATGTGTCTCCGTAGCACCCCAAACTTCTACTTTGCATCAGATATAATTATCTGCATAATGTTGGAATGTCCTTCTGTGCTATACCTCCATGTGACCAGGTCTGTCTGCTACTCTATCCCTAATAGTGTGGCTGGCATATATTAAGTAATTAGAAAATATTTGTTAAAAATGTTATGAGGGTCAACAGGAAAGAGCAACAGTCTTTGGGCCAGAGCTGAGACAGTGTCATAGTTTTGAGTCATAGCCTGAAGGATGGGCACATTTTCTGGAAATATTTTGGTGCAAAGATTTGTTATTCCAACTAAAATGAAAACAAGACAATGTACACAGATGAGGAGAAGTTTGCTCCTATTTCCTTCTGGACTTTCTAGTTCCAGCCACATCAGTATGAAGCAGGTCCTCTTTATTTTTGACCGAAGTGGACAGGTTAATCCATATCAGGTAATTGCTGAGTGCTGGGATGTTTGTATTAGTTTCTGCTTTTTCCAGAAGACAGAGTTTGTTTGAAAGGGCGATCAGTCAGCTGGAAGCTGTCAGTTCTTTTTGTTTTATTTTGTTTTGTTTTGTTTTGTTTTGTTTTGTTTTGTTTTTTCCAGACTTGTCCTTGTGTGTAATGTGGGATTCTGTGTGGCTTCCCTACATGTATTACAAGGGCTATATGTTTCCTGATGTTGTGCTATAAAGGAGATTAAAAAGCTAGAGGATGCTTAGGGAAATGAAGCTATTGCATGGTACTGTAATGTGGACACATGACATGAAAGGATTGTCCTACTAAGCAAAGACATTAATAGAGGAGAGTGTGTGGGTCGGTAAGGGGAGAGGGTATATGGGAACTCTGTATTTTCTGACCAATTTTTACAGTAAACCTAAAACTGCTCCAAAAAATAAAGTCTATTAATTTAGAAAAGTCATGGAATAGGCAAGTATTAGTGGTATTGTTAGTCGTAACTCACGGGATGCCCCACCTCCCCTACCCCACCATCAAAACAGCATCACTACATTGCAAAAAAGACTTGGAGTTAACAGTTCAAATGCTGATTCTTCCACAGAGTACATACGAAGTAGGTGCAATAAGACATCCTTTATGACTTACAGGATTCTCATAACACACCCCCCACTGCTAAAAGTACCCATTGGAAAGGCTGCATCACCACTTTCTCCAGAAACAAACCCTCCACACTCCCCAACCCTCCCAAAAAAACCCTACTTATTTGGATTTTTCTAGTATGTTTGTATGTATATGCACACATGTATATACACACACCCATGCCTATGTATACATATTTAAATAAAATGGCTCTAGACAACTTAGACCACTAATGAGACTGGGAGTTTCCTCAGAGTCACTCTATCAGAACTATTCAAAATGCATGCACATCTGAGTCACCCAGGGATCTTTCTCCAATGCACATTCTCACTCATTAGACTTGAGTGGGGCCTGAGAGTCTGCATCTTAGACAAGCTTCCAGGAGATGCTATACTTTGGATGGCAAGAAAATCCGTCCTAATTGCCCGATTCCTCTTGGCCTGTGCACAACCATAAATTGCCTTTGATTACCATTCTGTGACAGCTTTCTCATTCTTGGTTTGGTGAATAATTTGGGAGATGGAAGCTCCTTGACAATTCTGGGAAGCAGACTGTGTGTACTTGAAGGGAGGGTTTCCTTGCGGTTAGTGGCGCCCTCTCTGCTGACACTTGCTGGCTTGCTTCTATGCTTGTATGACAGCACCCTCCCCAAAACAGTCTTCACTTTCTTCCTCCATTTTTTTTTCTGATTTTGTTGGCTTTTATGAAATTCCATGTCGCTATCACCGGATGATTCCTCTCTGGGGACCAACACATTTTGCTTTACTAAGTTGGTGGACACAGCTCTATGCCATCTAAACAAAAAAAAAATAATTTGTATTAAGGAAATTGAAAAGTTGAAAACAAATAATTTAAGTGAATCCTCAAAATCCAAACTTCAAATGTGCACAAATTATACAATTCTAAAAAACAAAATTGAAGACCAAGAATCAAATCATGGATCAAAAAAAGCCGAAGCAACTACTTGGTGTTCGGTCACCAAACTGAAGTTAAGTGTATTCTGACCATTATCTCATTGAATCCTCACAGCACTGTAAGAAGTAGGGTATATTATTATCCTTATTTTACTAGTAAGTAAACTGAGACAAAGAGAGGTTAAATTAATTGACCACAGGTAGAATACAAATTCTAATCCAGGTCTGTGACTGTTAGCATATATATTGGCAAGTTGCCAATCTCATTTCAATGATGTTTAAGATAGTTTTTGCTGGATTTGGTGGTTCCAAGTGATGAGAGATGAGAATCTTCCAGAATAGTCAATACGGATTACAGTCTCCAAGGCTCCATAAATGCTGCATTTACACAGAACACACATGTAGATAGAATAACTCTAAACTCAGGTTTCCAAAATTGAAACAGTCCTATACTATATCTTCATCACTTTGGCATATTTTAGTAATAAAAATGATACCATTTCTTAATAGCTTTCTGTACACTAAACACTCTACTAAGTTCTTTCATGTGTTTCATGTAATTTAACCTTCATGTTTGTCATCTCCATTTTACAGGATGGAGGAATTTAAAGCCCGTTAAGATTAAATAACTTATGGCCCAATAATATGGTCCCAAGGTTTGTGTTAATCTCCATGCCACAGTGGACATCACCTGTACCATGATACCATTAGTTACCCAGTATTCTTCTCAACTGTATTTGTTAGTGTCATCCAAAGCATAAAATCCATAAAATCTCAGACACCTACTTCCCTGTCACTCCCACCTGCTCCTTAACTCCAGCAGCCTCTAAGAGGGAGATTGTCCAAGCTGCTGTGCGTATCAGTAGTTTGTTCCTGAGCAGTGTTTTTGCTGAGTAGTATTCCGTGACACAGATGTACCGCACTTTATCTCATCGTCATTCACCCATGGAAAGGCATTTGGGTTTTCTCCACTTTGGAGCTATTATGAATAAAACTGCTATATATGCTTGTGTACAGGAATTTGTATGAACATAAGCCTTCATTTCTTTGGATGGAATCCCAGGTTTTGTATCATATATATTATGTTTATTATAATTACAACCTATGCAGTACATATTTTTAATGTGGATTTAAAATAAATTCATAGCGGGCATGTCAAAGTGTGGGCAAAGGGTCTGTTTGTTTCTATGCAGAAGATCAAGGCCTAGCTTGGATACCCAGAAAATGAACTAAGATACGATATGAGGAGGAGCTTCCGGCATCAGCACTCTCTGGAGGACTCGTGCCGGGGGATGATCATCAAAAAGCCTCCACAGGGATCCGGACGATGCTGCGGTTGTGGCTGCATCCAGCCCACCGTCTCCTGGACTTGCCATAAGAAGGAGGAGGGAGATGTCTAGGCTGGCATGTGCATACAGTGAGACAACGAATTTGACTGGATCTGTACTGTTGGAACTCAACCAGGAGTTGGGAGGGGTGCAAGTTGTAGCACCCCAAAATCTCATGACTATAGACTATCTATGGTTAAAAGAACATATGGGATGTGAACAGATCCCAGAAATGGGCTGCTTTAATTTGTCTGATGGTTCAAGTACAGTTGGAAAATATCCATCATATCATAGATAAATTTTCACAAATGCCTAGGGTGCCTAAATGGTTTTCTTGGCTTCACTGGAGATGGCTGGTAATTATAGATTTGCTTTGTTTATGTCACCGTATTCCTATTATGTTAATATGTGTGTGCAAATTAGTTAGTAGTTTAAAACCTATACATACTTAAGGTACTATACAAGAAGATATGTCAAAGAAATAATCAATCCTCCCAAGTTTCCTTCATATGCTACATCTATAGCTTTTCTTCTTCCTTCCTAATTACAACCCTTAAATAGAATTCGTGCCTCATATCGAATTTACCGAGTATCATAATTCCTCCAGGTGGTAAAGATACCTCGAGACAAGTGCTGGGCATAGAAGCCACAGGGCATAAATCTGCAAAGAAGTAAAAAGCTAACCTTTGCAAACAATATGGCTTCTCTCTCACTTACCAACTTTACATTTCCCTGTATGGCCCCGGAAGATGACTGGTTAGCCAGAGACGGGTAAGATTCCTCAAGGGAGGAACAACCTAAGACAGGCACAGTCGCAGGGGGGCCATCAGGTGAGAATTTGGGGATCAACAGAGGTGAGGCTCAGAACCTCACCCCCCCTGCTTTGAGAGAAATCTTCTGCATCCGTGGATGTCTTGCTGCCCTTGTCTAGCCTGGATTAATACTTAGTCCATAGGCACACACCTGATCATCTGATCATCTACATTTGCCTTCTTACAGCACTAAACTATGTTTTCTACCTTTATCTTGCATCTACCTACCACTTCAGCATTTTATTAAAAATAAAAATAATAATAATAATAGGAGAAATGTGGGATCAACATATAAATCAAGTACAAAAATCAAACGAATATTCATATTTGACCTGATTGTTTATAGGTCATAATGCATGATCAAAACCGAAAGTTTCTGTGATGAATGCCCTTGTACTGTTCACCATGTAAGAATTTATTCACTATGTAAGAATTCGTTCACCATGTAAGAACTTGTTCGTTATGCTTCAGAAGATTGGAGACTGACGAGAATTAGGCTTGAGATGGATTAATGATTGTACATTGAGCATTGACCCCCCTATACTGAATTTTATTGTTGTTAACAACCATTTGATCAATAAATATGAGAGATGCCCTCTCAAAAAATAAATAAATAAATAAATTCATAGCTATTAAAAAATGTTCTTCAGATACTACCTAAAATATCTAAGTACCACCAGTGGCATGTATACCATCTTCCAGGAACACAGTGCTCTAAATTAGACTTTAATCATTCAGCTTCTTTGTAATCATACATGGGAAGTATTTCAGAAGGGCCCAGGCACTATAGTTCAATGGTCTTGGTTCAACCCAGCACAACACTTGCCAGCTATGTGACCTTGGGCATGTTATTTTATTTCCATAAGCTTGGGTTTTCTCATTTGGAAATATGTATACTATTCTCAGAAATGTCAGAATAAAAGGAAATAATTTTTGTGTGGGAACCTAATAAATGATTGCCTCTATTACCATGTGCATCAGATCTGTGTGGGGAAACTTAAAAGGCAAGAAGGGAGCACAAGCTACAGGTCAAAAGAGGAAGACCACTGGGCTACCAGCTTCCCTTTGGGGACTGGAACCTGAGAGTTCTACCAGTTGTACACATACAACTTCTAGGGGGTTTCTTCACATTCAGTCATTACCATTGTATACAGCAACTATAGTAACTTGCTAGTAGATGACAGTAAAGTGTTTGGAGGAAGGGGTACTACCACTTTTTAATTTAACCAAAGATCCTTTATGGGCCAGGATTAAGCTTACATGGACCCCTCAGAGAATACTTTTATAAAGCCATAATTTTCTGCTACAAACACACACATATACACACACACACCCCAACACAATAGAAATACAATTTCAGGAGGCTCAAGAACCCCAAAGGCCATCCCTGCAATCCCTAAGGGAAAAAGCCACCTTCTCAGCAGTTTCTGAATCTCTAGACTGTATCTCCCACCTCCATCCCCTACACCCTCATTCCCCATCTATTTATAACATGATTAACAAAGGTGATTTTGCCCCAGGGCCTCAGATTTCTGTTAAGAAAAGTCCCCTTCTTTTCTTAAGTTTTTAAATATCAAGGTTGTAATCAATTTATTTGGTTGTATTGCTTCTGCTTGTACCCCATTTCTTATTGAAAGTGTAAATCTCTGCAATATTTAATTTTGTCTGTGGGAGTTCAGAAATTTGGTCTTTGATAATTCCAGCCTCATGAAAATACTCCATTTCTATATGTTTGAGCTACTGCTCCTGAACCTGGTAATAAAGAACCCAAAGAAATTGGAAAGTAAATCATCTCAATGACTTTCCAAATTAAAATGTATTATGTTTAGAGTATTTCATGCCTTCTTTATGGTTTTGTCATTGGCAAGAAATATCAGGTATAAGACAGTTTTAGCATTACATTAAAAAGTGTGCACAGGGTGAAATATGATTAGTACATATTTCAGCAGCTAAAGTTACTGGGAAAGGGAAAAAATGTTGATCATGACCTATCTAGAAGAATGTACTATTGAATTTTCAAAATAATAGTATTTACACAGGACACAGAATATCTAAAATTCTGAGGCTGACTAACAACTTAGGATCAGCGCTTATTTTAGTGTCATATGCCACATTAAATACCCAAATTCAGGTGGAAAGGAGAGGTTTCCCCTATTATAATTTAGACTTTTCTGATAATAAAATGAGGCTTCCATTGTGACACTGGCTTCCTGATCCAAAATATAAATGTGGTGTCTCCACCTAATCCATTCAGAGCCTCAATTCCTAAATGCAATGCAAAAGATGCTGCCTTTTCTCATCACAGTGAATATTGTTTAATGCAAAATCCAAAGAAACTCACTCAATGGAAAAGAAAATGAGTCCCATTTACCTACCTTTCAATCCCCTTCCTTTTGAATGAGATGTTTTTCTTCCTGGGTCGCTGAAATCTTTGGTATTGGCCATCTCTTCCACAGGCAAACTTAAAGGACTCTGGTAGATACAGTTGAGGGGGATCCATTGCTCTCAACTTCACCTGACACAATTGTTTCAGATTTCTTTAGCTCTTCATCTCACAAACTTCAAACCAAAGTCATCCAGGACTGAGGTTGTTTAAACTTCTGGGCTGTTCGGGGTAGCTATGTAGGGAATTTTTGGAATCTCTTTCTTACTCCCTTCCAAGGTGTTAGAGACATTATTGGTGGGACTCGCCCTGTTTACCACTTCACAGAAGTCACCAATGATGCATTTGACACAGTGGTGGGGAATTCTGTTTCACTTTGTGGAACACATGTTGTACATTCCAGGGCAAGGCAAATGCAGGAAAGGTAACCTGATGGTCTAACCACTACCATTTGGATTGGTAATAAAACAATCACACACAAACTGATTATCATATTTAGACATGTATGTCTGAATTTCAAGAAAGGAGAGAATTATAAAGTACATGAGCTGAAAAAGTTAAATACCTGGGCCAAGCCCTTCCTTCAAACATCTCACCGTTATTTTCTGAAAAGCAAATTCTGCCTGGGTTGCAACTTCTCACCACAAGGTGGTAGCAGACACTAGGATTTATTTCTATGACTCTCAAGAGGGCTTTTTAGTTTTTCAGCCTGAAAGAACCGGATGCTAAAAAGGAAAAGTCTAGAAAACTGTTGGGAGATACGAGAATCACTCTGCTTTTTCTGTTTGCACTCATCAGTAACCTGGAGCATGTTCTTCAAACTTTCGTGTGCACACGAATTACCTGTGGGTCTTATTAGAATTCAGATTTTGATACAGGTCTGGGATAAGATCCAAGAATTGGCATTTCTTACAAATTCTCAGATGATGCTGATGATGCTGCCCACAAACCATACTTTAGGAAGTGAGGATCTTGTATGTTCCAGCAGGGGGAAGAACTTAAAAATTGTCAAGAATGTAGTGTACAACACTGAGGGGTTAGAAGAGTATGGGTTTTAGGAATTGCACCTGGGCTCTTTCTTGTTCCATCCCAGCTATGTGGCCTTCATCAATTCACTTGACTTATTGGTGCTCGTTTTCTCATCTGTAAAGTAGGGATACTAAAAGCACCCAGGCCAAAGGAGAGAGCGTAGGTGGTCCTTGCAGAAGCCCTGAAATACAGCATATCTGATGTGCTTTAGCCAAATGGGCTTCTGGTTCTACCTTGTCTGTTTTTCCACAGGCATTGGAATCCCTAGAACACAATAAATAAACAGGTGCTTGAATGAATGAATAAATGAATGAGCATTTTCTTTAACCAAGGGGCAACTATTTTCACTTGATTGGAATAGTTGTCTTATTTCTGTTGTATTTTGTCAAGTATCTGAATGAATGAGACTACTTCTACACTAGGAAAAGAAAGCTAGTCTTTATTTGTGTATGTGTCTGTCTGTGAGTGTATTTAACAGGCTGAAGTGAAAAGAGACATGGGTTTTCCAAGGGGTCCTGAAGCTGCTGATGGAGCTGGCAAGAGCGGAATGGGAGAAGAGCTATGGCACAGACAGACACTGATTTGAGCCAAATCTGTTTTTAAATTCTATCTCTGCCTCTTACAAGGTTTGTGTCCTTGGGCAGGTCACAAAACCTCTCTGGACCTCCATTTTCTTATATGTAAAATAGCTATAGTAACTGCTCCTTTCCAGGGATGTTTTAGTTAATCATTTATCCAACGATTATTTGAATGGCTAGTGGATGCTGGTGCTAGACACCTGAGACACTAAAGTGAACAACACACACAGACTCTCTGAACTAACATGACTGAAAATGTTGTGGGAGAGGCTGACAACAAATATGAAATGAATTAACTTTGGCTGGGAGTAAGTGCTATGAAGAAAACTAAAAAGGATGATAGGATAATGAGGGTCAATGTTAGATGGGAGTCAGGGAAGGCGGCCTGCCTGCCTGCCTGACAGCTGACAAGGAAAGTGAGTCAGCCATGTGAAGATCTGACTGTCCCACGTAGATGAATCAGCAGGTACCACAGCCCTGAGGTGGAAGGAGTCTGCTGGCTCTGGAAATGTGTAATGCAGACAGGTAGGTGGTGGCACAGAGAGCTACATGTGATGAGCTGGAGAGAGAGCTGCGGCAAACTTGCTGGATCCTACAAAACAAAGATCTTTGCCTTGATCTTCAGAGCAATGGAGAGTTATGGTTTTCTAATCATTAATTTTTTTAATTGTGGTAAAATGTATATAATACAAAATTTACCATCTTACCCATTTTTAAGTGAATAATCCAGTGGCACTAGGTATACTCATATCGTCGTGTAACCATCACCACCATCCATCTCCTGAACTTTTTTCATCTTACAACACTGAAACTCTGAAACCATTAAACAGTAACTCCCCATTCTTCTGGAAACTGCATTGCTGCTTTTCTATCTGTGTGAATTTGATAAGGGTTTTTATGGAGCTAGTCAATGAATGTTTATTCTGGGCAATGGGGACCCAGCCTTAAACAAACAATTAGGACTTAAATTCTAGTGGAAGAGACACAGACCAGACATGTTAACAAATAGATCAAGCATTTCAGACACTGGTAAAAAATGCTACCAAAAACTAGGAAAACCTGGTAGAAGGCAAGCAAAAGTGAGTGCTTCTGCCAGAGTGATCAAGAAAGACACCTTAAAGAAGTGATATTTGGAAAGGAGGCAAACTATGGTGAGAGCAGGGAGAGGAAGTGTTCCACAGATGGAAAACTACCAGAGTGGAGGTCCTGAGGTGGGTGGGAACCAGGCCTTGTTTGAGGGCGGAAGGGAGACCAACGTGGTGGGGACACAGGTGACAAGGGAAGGCAACATTATGCTTCTGTTTTAAAAAGACAGCTGGGTGCAGCGTGGAAATACAATGCAGAGGGAAAGTATGGTTGCTAAAAAGTCATTACATAGGCAATTGGTCCAGGCCGGCGATGAGTGAGACAGAAGTGTACAGGTTCAGGAAATATGCAGGACGTATGATATTGAAATGAACGATGCATGAGGACCAATGAACAGAGAGAGGGAAATACTAGACTGGGAAGTTAGGTTTTTGCCTTAGTTCAAGTGTGAGATTACAGTGGTTTAACTAAGTCTGGGGTAATGGAGCTAGAGAGAAGGGCACCAATTTCAGAGTCCCCCATGACTGTATTTTTCTTTCCAACCTTCCTTCACAGGATTTGGCTTGGAGTCATACCCATATGATTACTCCCTGGACATTTGTAAGTGTCCAGCCAAAATTCCAGAGCAGGGCAAAATCTGTATGATCTCCCTTGTCTTAGCATTATCCTTGTATTGAACATATCTCAGATAGCAGGCTCCTATTCAGGTAACCATAACAACAGTTGACTCCTATTGAGCCTATTGAGACAGCAGTAGATTGAAACCACTAACTCAGAGATTGCAAACATGAATGCCTGCTGGAGCCAGGAGGGAAAATATGAGAAGCTGTGGGGTATAATAGGGATGGATGGGATTGTAGTAAATTGCAATGCTGGACCAATCAAATGCTATTGAACTTCAAATTTGTAAGAATCTTTATGCATTTAAAAATGTGGTTTGTCCTTCATATTTGACCTGTGGCTCTTCTGTCTGCTGCCCTTAGAGATCTTTTTATGTAAACTCTCCATTCAGCCAGCCAGATCTTTGCTATCTGTGGTCCTAAGCTAATTCCCCACCCCAGACAAGTATTGACCTAAATATATTAATTTTGCATTTTATTGTTTTTTTGACAAATTATTAATTGTTTTTACATTTTATCTTTATGTGAATGCTTACTAACCTCACCTAACTTGTAAGTCATCTGCAAACTTGGTAAGCAGAGACCCTAGGCCTTATTCTGAGTTTGGGAGTGATAGAACAGGGCAAACAGTGTACCTTAGTGACCTGCACTAATTTTGAAACTGAATCCTTTTGAAAATCAATAAATATGTAATAAGCTGACCATGTCTTGAAGAATCTCTAGTAATTCTAGCCATCCAAGATTTACCAGGATTTGGGAAGCCTTTGCATGTAGAGGAATATGGATTGGGGACTTTTTCTCCTTCTTCAAAGCAAACTTTCTTGGTGGGGCTTTTGTCCTTTTGCAAGAAGAATGTGGAACATTACAGATCACTTAGCAAGAATTGCATCATGAAGTGTATCCAGGGTGCCTAGAGACAGTGTTTCTCTGGAGAGACTACCTTGCTGAAGCAATTCCACTCTCTGGAAGTCAGAGCAGGAATCGGCTGGTGCAAAGTGTCTCTGAAGAGGCGAAAGGCTTTCTAGCAAATGATGCCTTTTTTTCATCTGCTTCTTGTGTTGGCTGCTGCTCCAGGTTGGTGTCGATGACTTTGGACTCATCATATAGTTTTGAAATAATCATTTGGTTTGCTTCTACTCTCTTTCGTAACTTCTTAGTGGTGGTCTTAGAAATTGAAATCGTTAAGTGCTCTGGGCCGTGCCACATTGGAAAGTCTACATTTCAGTCAAAATGTCCTCTCAGGTTCAGCTGATATGACTGCAAGGCACAGTCAGCTCTCTGGAGGGTGATTTGCCAATAGCTACCAGCATTTGATCTGCGGTCTCAGAACCAGCATCCCATCTCTGGGAACATATTCTCTAGAAATCGTAACATCAGGATGTAGGTTTTTTTGAAATAGCAAAAACAAGAGGCAACCTACACATACATCAAGAGAGGACTAAATAAATAGTTCTACAAACTGTGGACATTGGAGCCATTGAAAGGAAGCAACTCTGTGTGTTCTGATATGCAAGTAAGAGGGTAATCCACGGTGTACGCAGAGTGGAGACAGGATGTCCTAAACCACGAACACTAGAAGACTCCTTTTAAATAAGCTCTCTGTAGTCACATACGGTCACAGAACGTTTGGGAGGAATGTATGTCAACAATTTAACAGCGGTTATTTTTGGAGATGGAGAGTGGGAGTGGTAGTAGAGCAGCAGAGGTGGGGAAGGAGTAAGTGGGAGATTTAAATTTTTTATTTTGTATACTTCATATTGTTTGATTTTTTTTAAATGAGGATGTTTTATACTTACACTACAACATTAAACGCAAGAATTTAAAAATCAATTATCCAAATTTTGAATGCATAATTTCAAGAAATTGGTTTAGGTGATTTTTTCCCTATTGCATGGATTGATTTCATAAAAATAACTCAATTGAAGAACTTAAACATTTGCATTAGAATCAGTCAATTCTGGTTTTGGATAAAAGCCAAACTGTCCATATTGACAACAAAAAGCCATGTCAAACATGCTTAATATTTTAAGAATAAATGATGGGTTAAAACTGAAAAAGCTCTCTGAGATAATTTACAATTTCTTAGTTAGGCATGATTAGATTTACTATTTCTAATAAAAATAAATGATTATATTTTCAAAAACAACAACACACTTCTATAACTATACTGCCCAGTACAGTAGCCACCATCCACTTAGGTCATTAACAACTTGAATGTGGCTAGTCTGAATTCAGATGTGCTGTTTCTAAGTGTAAAATACATGCTGGAGTTTAAGGATTTCATAGGAATAAAAGATTGTGAAATATCATATTGACATTTTAAAATGCTGATTAAGTCTTAAAATCACACTTTGAATGCACTGAGTTAAATAAAATATACTATTAAATATTTCCTTTTTAAAACCCTTTTAAAATGTGGTTACTAGAAAATTTTAAATTACATATTACACAGAGCTATTTTATAGTTCTAGAAATTTTTGTAAACCGAATTTTTCTTAAGCATGGAATATTCAAATCAACTGCTCCTGTTTTATACATACAGCTATCTTTTTGAAGTTGAAATAGCAGGTGTATCCATCACATCAACTCAGCAGGTGGGATGTTTAGTAAAGTAGGATATAATGAAGTCTAAAAAAAGACTTTATTTCAATTTAGTTTGTTCTATTTTGCCTTTTTGTGTTTGGATGAAGATTTTTATCTTAAATCTGGTACCACAAAGTAGAGACTCTCAGATGCATTTTGTCTACAAGATGTTTTGAGTATTTCATATAAAAATCTCCATATCAGGATCTTCACAAAAAATAAGGTCTGACAGATCAGCCTACATTCCCTATGCGCTGGGTAGTGGCTTCCCCCATTAGGTGGAAACAAGCTGCTGTGGTGCCTTTGTCACCACAGTCCCCACTTATTCCCTGATGCCCTGTACCCAGTGTTTGGGCATTATTTTACAATCTCCACTAAAGAAGTTTAACTAGTGTTTCCCAATCTTCTCTTGTTCTTGGGTACAAACATGTAGCCTCTCAGTCTCCATTATTATATGAAGTCACATTCCAGCATTTTTACATAGCTTTAAGGATTTTTTCACAATTTCTTCCTATGATCCAGCTATGGGACTCCCATAATTTTCCTTTTAATTCTGACCTATTGATTCAATCTCAGAAAGTAGGAGGTTAGAGTTTCAAATAGGAATTTGGGGGGGACACAATTCAGTCCATAGAATTCTGCCCTAATTCAAGGGCCCTAATTCAAATGTTAATTTTGCTCAAATCCTCACAGACACATCCAGAATAATGCTTGCCTCATGGAGCAAAGTAACACATAAAATTAACCAACACAGTCTCTGACATAGAAGTCTTGTGTCTTCTGCCAGGATGTGTGAAACTGGCAGGCTAACTTGTTAGCTTGAAAGTAGCGTAAGTTGTCAGATTCTTCACAGTTCTTAATGGTTCTGCCAAACCAATTCAACTGATTTTAAAACTCTTAATAAAAAAGAAGTTATATTTACTGTGCTTTTCCTTCATAGTCTGAAATATTTGCAAAAAAGAGTTTGGGAAGCATTGCTGAAATCCTTATTTTAAAAAGTGAAATTTTGTGTTTCCTCTAAGATGTTCTAGCTCTTCCAAGTTTTGCCATTGAAAATGCCAGCCCTCTTCTGGAAAATGCCTCTGAACATACACAGGTTGCCATAATCACTGTGTCTGTCTCACCTCCTGTTTCTCTGGTTGGGGGTCCTGCAATCATCAGTGCGAATCCTGTGCTTCATCCGTTTGTGCTGTCTCATAGATCCATGCACCAGTGGGAGGTAAGTATCTAGGTGAGCAGTATCATCACTTGGTACCACAAGTATTCTAAAATGAAACTATCATGCTCTCCCTTCTTGCCTTCTTACTGGATACTATTCACTTAGCACCCACCCATTAGGACACATTATGTGCCAGACACTCTAAACCTCCTTGGGGACATCAAGATCTATTTATCTTACAGATGTCTACAGGAAACCTACTCAGACAGAGGGCAAGACACTGGGGTTCCCGTGGTAGAACACAGTCCTTGCCCTCATGTTTACTGGTTCACAGGAAGACACATTAATCAGACGAACACATATAGACACACATACACATACACACACACACACACACAAGCAGAAATTATAAGTGTAGTAAGAGCCATGAAAGGCCCATAGGTGGATGAAAGGACCTAAAGGGGACATCCGATGTTGTCCGGCTTCCCTGAGGAAAAGCTACATGAGAAGTAATCTTCAAAACAAATAGAAATTAATGAGATGGACAGAGAGAGCTCTAAGCAGAAAGCACAGCATGTCCTAAGGCCCTGTGGCGAGAAGGAGTATGGTGAGGAGAAGGGACCAAAGTGGCAGGAGGGGACAGGGAAGTGCAGTGAGAGAGTAAACTAGAGGGCCTGTAACCTACAGGACCTGTGAGGCAGGTAAGGAAGTTTTGTTTACCATCCAGTATAATAAGGTGATGATTTCTCCCTCTGGGGAAAAGTTCAGGCAGGCTTATTGCTCATTTTAGAGGATCTGGGTTTCCTAAGGTCAGAGTTCCTTAAATGTGACACAAATCCACTGCGCACACAGCATTCACCTGGGCCCCTCTGCAGTCTCCCCCCCCCAATGGGACTGAGAGCAGCCGGAAACAATATGACACGACGCTCACGGTGCCTGCTGGCTGTGCTGTGAGTAGTACGTCCTTAAGAGCAATGCATGATTTCCACCAAAGGATCTTGTGTAGGGAAATCAAAATTGGCTCTTAGATTTAAGAGATTCCAAAAGTGATAGGGCAAAGAGATACCTACGTGACCAGTCATGCTGAATTATGAGAGGCAATCTGAAATAGCGGTTAAGAGCATGTGCTCTGGAGCCAAAAACTGCCTGGGTTCAGATCCTGGTTTTGTATGTATTACTCTGGGAAAATGACTTCATTTCTCTGTTGCAATTTTTGTCACCTATAAAATGAAGATAAGAGCAAATGCTGCCTCACAGGCAGTATTCAATATGTAAAGTGCTTAGAACACTGCCTGGTATTCAGTCAGCCAGTAACTTAATCAGTATTAGTTTTGTTATTATAATGGTGATCTGGTGATCTTAGAGAGCGGTCAGTCCAAAAAGCAGCTGTAACCCAAGAGGAAGACATTCAGCCTAAGAAAACTTGGGAGAGGCTCTGTCAAAACACTAACATTCCTCCAAGAGGACTCACAGGAACAGGCATTACATCAGAAGAAACACTATCAACCAAAAGCTTTGAAGTTTAAAAACATGGCACGCCACAAAGACCAAGGATCAGTGTGCCTGGAAGAGTATGAGGAGGAAATGGCCAGAGACGATTCAAGGAGAGGAAGGTGGAACCATATCCTGAGGGAGTCCCTGCAACTCAGTCGTTACCTGCCACCGGTTTCCCTGACACACTATTTCCTTGGCTTGGATTGTCTGATCTCCTCTGTCTCCTTCCTCTTCTCCAGTTGGCCATTCTTGAAATCCACAGTCAGGAGTAGCTTCTTTTCCTCTCTGAATCAGTTAGCAGTTTTCCAGTTGAAAACAGTAGAAACCCATCCAAACTAACTTAAGCCAAAAAAGGACCTGTTTAAGATCTGAACTCTCCAAGAATGTAAACCTAACATTATTTTAAGGGCAGTTTGATCCATGATTCAAATAACATGACAGGGACTTGGATTCCCTCTGGTGTTCTATGTTTACACTCTCAGGTAGGCTCTCTCCACATGATTGCAAGATGGCTGCCAGCAACTCCCAGAGGTACATCTGCCAGGTTCATTACCCAGCATTCTGTTCAAAAGTGCTGAGATTCAATCTGATTGGATTAGTTTGGGTCATGTGTTCACTCTGAGCCAATCATTAAGGCCAGTGGAATGAGTGAGATGTGATGACAGACTTAAAGATGGGTTACTACCTCTCACCCTGGTTGGGAGCACAGCCCCACTAAGACCAGTGGAGAAAAAGGTGGCATTACAAACCAAAATTTTGACTCAAACAAAAAGTGGGATTGTTACAGCAAGGACAAGAGTAAGAATTGAGGTGGTAGATGACAATTACCTGCCATAGTCTCTATAACACCCCTTATTACACTGTAGTACCATTCACTGTTCAGATATTTGCTCCTCAACCAGATTGTGGGTTTCTTGAGGGCAAGTCTTACTGATCCTTTCCTTTTCATAGTACCTGACACTTAGTAGTTACTCAAATTTCAGTAAGTGAATGCTTTGCTATCTGGATTAGACTTTCCCCTATAAGCACTGAAAAGCCATTTGAAGTTGTAAATAATTACAGAAGAAATACAGACCATTTAGAGCTTACTAAAGACAACTCTTTGCTTAACAGACTGGAAAACTCCATAAAGTTTGACAATGCCTCTTGCTGTAAGGCTGAGGAAATCACTGTCAGACAGTGTTACACACATGCTGGTGACCATAAGATGACCCAAAAAGCTACTGAACAGTCAGCTGAATGACTGCACAAATTTGTATGTGAAGACAGTGCATCCTACCTTAATTTTTAAAAATCCATCATTTAGAATATAGCTGTTTATATACTATTAAAATATCTAAACAGGAAAACAGATAAAACCCTACAGAGTAATACCAAAGGTAGTGGACAGACTGCTGATCCCAGCGCTATTACTAAATAGTTGTACATCCTTTTTCAAGGTTGGGATCTGCAGTTTTCACATCTACAAAATGGGATAATGATATCACATTCCTTCATAATTTCATCAGGTTATTAAGAGGATTAAATGATATAAAATACCTTGTAAAACACATCAAGATGCTTTGAAAAACAACAAGAGATTGCTGGGGCTGAGGGGAGTGAGCACAGGGGAATAGCTGGAGTTTAGATGTATTCTGAGGAAGGTGGGACATTATTTATCTATAGCTACAACAATGCTGTATAGCAAAGCACCTCAAAACTCAATAGCATACAACAATAAGCATTCATTTCTTGTTCATGTGACTGTGGGTTGGCTGGTGATTAGCTGATCCAGCCTGATTTGGCTCCAGACTGTGGGTTGGGTCCAAGTCAGCTTCTACTGCCTCTAATCCTCTTTTATCACTGAGAACCCAGCCAACTCCACATGCACATTTCAAGACCTATGTCTGCTTGTATCCCTTTGGTTAAAACAAGTATCCATGCCACACAGGATGGAGATGTAATAAGCACTGCTTTTAATGGAAGGAACTGCAAAATCACATGGCTAAAGGACATGAACATAGGGAAGGGTAAAGAATTGGGGACATTAAATCTACCTTCCACATCTAAAAAACCATTGGGGAATTTTGTGGAATACAAATATGACTTCCTTACATTTAAAACAGGCCACTCTAACTGCTGTGATGAGGACAGACTATGGCGGGGCAAAGCATACCTGTTAGGAGGCTACTGAATATCCTTGCCAAACCTTACTACTGTCTGATATCAAATTTGCTTCCAACTTCAGTTAAGTGCAAAATACTGTCCCATGCTTGTTCGTAATTTGATTTTTGTTATGTCTTAACAGCAAAATGGCAGCAAAGATTCTTCAGTAGTTTGCTTATTGATTTTGTTTTTTTATGATTTGCTTTTGGTGAGGTAGTGAATTACAGTTCTTCTAAGCATGGGTTTTAAGATCTGGACAAACTTAGGTGTGAATCGTAGCTCCCCCAGTAGCCAGGTGGCCGTGGATAAGCTACTTGACTTTTCTGTTCTTTGGTTTTCTTTTCTGGACAAAGAGATAGATAGATAATAATATCACCTCACTCAGGGGGTGGTAAGAAGACCCCATGAGAGAGTGTGCAAAGTGCCTTCTTAGTGCTGGGACGGTAACAAGCAATTAACACACAGTGGTTGTTACTATGATTAATATATTTATGCTTAAATATTCAGCACTGTTGTAGTCAAATTACAGATAACAAAACACTATAAGAAAGATGGTCACATTATCATAACTGTGTCATAATAGATCAGCTCTAGGTAGATTTAGAAATAGTTCAATTATGAAAAACTTTCCTAGCATGGAAATTAACCTGCAGATAAAGGCAAAACCCAATGACCTAAAAATCTGTCTCTACCACATTACAATACAAAAGGGAATATGCTGTTCTATTTGAGGTTTAGCATATCACTATCCTTTGTTAACTTCCTTCCTTGTTTGGTTTGCAAAATACTAAGCTTAAGGAAGGGTGACTGGGCAGGCAGTCAAAAAAAAAAAAAAAAAACCCAAAACTGAACTAGTCTTCTTGAGAAACAATAGCAAAGCTTAAAGTGAACTGATTATATAGATAAATTAATGGAAATGAGACAAGGTGTGCTCTGGTTATATAATCTTCAAATTGCTACTTGTCACTGAGTAGCACAAACAGGGTGGCACAGGCAGGAGAGGAAAAGGAATCCAAATTACCCTCAGTGTGTGCACTCTGTGTTCTTTGGATGAGAGCAATCAAGTAGAAGGGACCACAACCACCTTCCTGTCTTCTTCCATTATCAAGTGTGAAAAGTAAGCATTTGCATTTTTAAAAATTCAGTAAGTGCTGAAAAGCCCAACACTGTGTAAAGTGCTAGGGAGCAAGAAAGACACAGTTGCTTCCCCTATGGGGATCCCAGGGCAGAGGGAACCTAAAGCAGTGGGACCAGCCTGAGCCTGGGGCTTTGTTCAGGGTGTGCTTGAGAACAGACTGTGCTTAATTACAGCTTGAAACTCCTGTGTATCTTCAAATCAGGCTATGGTATTAAATTAACTTATCAGGAAGCATTCAGGGTATGATGAAAAGAAAACAGGTTTTTAAGTCAGGCAGACCTGACATTAAATCTTAGCTGCCACTTACTACCTCTGTGACTTGGGCATAAATTTCTGAGCTTCAGTTACCTCATTGGTAGCATGAAGATGATAACAGCATTTGCTCTATGGGATAATTAGAAGAATTATAGAGATAAAGTCTCCAACCTGTGTTAAGTGTTTAGTAGAGAAAAATCATCAAATATGAATGTATTACTGGCTTCTCCTGGTGGTGGTGATGGGGTTTGATATTCAGGTGTCACAGTAACTCATACTGTTTGTCAGTGGGAAGGGCAGACTGGCAGGAACTGGGTTCAGGTTCTGCCCTTCCGCAGCATGACTTTCCTAGCTGCATTACATAATCTAATCTCCAGTTGCTTCATCTGTGAAATGGAGCTAATAATAGTACCTTGCTCATAGGTTTCTTTGGATGTTTAAATGAGGTAAAGAATTGAAAGCAATGCTTGGCACATAGAAAGTGCTCATTAAATGTTAGCTCGTATTAGTATGAGCTTGTTGGGGTGGCAGGATGATCCTTTCTTCTGAGAGCTGGTGATTCTAATACTGGAAAGGCAGGCATACCAGAGTGGAGCAGTGTGGCTAAGAGCACAGACTTCAGTATCAAAGCCCAGATTTATACCCTGCCTCTGTCCTTTGCTTGGTGACCTTGCTAAGCCTCTGTTTTTTATTTGTCAAATGGGCATATGAAAAATACCAATCACATTGTTTAGGGTTTTTTTCAGTGTTAAATTATATAATTCCTATTAAACACTTGCAGTTGGTACACAGTAAGGGCTCAATACATGTGAACTATCAGTATTGCTTTCAAACCCATCATCATTTTAGACAAAGGGTTCATGATTTGACATAGAACATCCAAAGACAAGTGGCCAACCCTTTCCAGTGGGTTTTGCTATTCAATAAAACCTTTGTTTTCTGTTACTTCACCAGTGGGAACATTTCAGAAACAAGCATTTCTTAACCCATTTACATCATGTGAGATATGCAAAGAACATTAGTGACAGCATATTCATTGCTTTCATTTAAGGGCAAAAAAGTCCAGATTTGAGACCTGAAGGGCCATGGTTAAAGTCTTGAAAGCCTTTCATACTAGAGATGGAATTTGAGTCCAGTGTTATTGATGGTCAACCTTAGGGGAGCCCTGAGGAGAGCAGTTCAAAAGCCAGTGTGAGACCACAAAGGAAGCCTAGAACAGGACATGTGGGTGACTGACTGAATGAGGGAGGAAAGACAGACTCTTCATCCACTTTTAGGCCCTAGACAGTTGAGGCTTATGATTAAGAACATGAGTGTGAAATTAGATGAAGTCCAGAGTCATTGTACTTTCTATCTGTGAAAACTTGGCCAACTGCTTAACCTCTCCAAGCCTCAATTTCTACATCTGTACCCAAGTAGAGTACCCACTTGCAATAGCAAGGACAGAATGGGACGTTTGTAAAGTACTTAGGATACTCCCTGACAAATTAGAATTGAGGGAGGGACTCCATAAACTTCGTTATTAGAAAGAATAACATGGAATGGTAGGAAGGATGACAGAGAAACCATTTGATATAACATGAATGAACTCTTTGTTAATGGAAGTTTTTAATAAGTCAGATCACCTTGCTTCCACATTTTAAATACAAGATTTTTATGCCTTTTTTAAAAAAAATGCTGATTCATACTAAGCATTATAGATCTAAAATATTCTGTGTACATCCTTATGAAGTCAGTCATTTACTCCATTATTCTACAACTTTCTGAAATTTAGTTACTTACCACTGGAGTACCCAGGCTGGACTTTGAGATGGTTACTCTCTACTCTCTGACAATCTATGCCAAAGACGACCATGGGACAACAGCATCAGAGACCATTTTAATCCAGATCGCAGATGTCAATGAGCCACCCACCTTCACTGGATCCCTTGCTCGAGGAGACCAAGGTACAGAGTTCTTCTCTCGGGGGGAGAAGGATCCAGTGGACATACATGTGTATACTTCATGCCCTGTGCCCTATGCGCTCTCATAGTGCCATAGCCATAGGTGTAATAGGGAGAATAATTATAGCAAAAGTAATGATGAATGGCTGCCACTTACCAGGCGCTATGTAGCCCTGTCCTAAGAGCTTCATATGGGAGGTTCTAGTCATATCTGCATTGCATAGAGGAGTTAGTAGACTTAAAAAGGTGAAGTAACTTGTTCAGCATTAAAAGCTACTTATTTCTCTGATTATTGTATATTAAAATAATTCCTTTGTGTGATTATTTAATTAATAGTATGTCCGGGTTATTAAGCTAGAAGCTTTATGAGGACCGGGGTCATATCTTATTTGTTCTTTCTCTAATTTTCTATTTGATTTTCACTGTTTATAAATCTCCCTATTTTCTCATTCTTTCTAATCACTTGTCTCTATGTATTCAAATATTTAAACCCAAAACCTACATGTGGATGATCCAATGTTCTCTATTAAAAACATAAACATTTGAGGTTGAGATGTTGGGGTGGCCACTAAGTGGGGAGAGTTTCTAATCCTGCCCGAGCCTCAGTTTCCTCATTGGTTAAACAGAGGTAGTAATCCCTTCTCAATGTAGCTCAGCCTGCAACAGTGTGTTGACGTGCCAATCATTGTGCCAGGCATAGCGTAGGTGCTGAATAAATGTTAGGCTCCTTCTATTCCCTTCCCCCAAGCAGATGATAAACTCCTCAAAGGCAGATCCAAGGTCATATCAGGCTCTCTGACTTCTAAAACAGTGAGCCTGGTACTAGGTTACCTGTGGACAGTCCCTAAATGTTTTCTTACGAGATGGCCAAGCCAGTGTCCTAAGCGGTGTTCACGCCGGCCCGGGGACTCCTTTCCTTAAAAGATCCTGCCCTCTTGGCCAAATGGTGGAGCAGCAGCTTCTCCAGGCGGGGGGTGGGGAGGGCAGGGGGGCGGGGAGGGTCCCTCCCTCAGACCCTGAGGAGTCTCCCACTGTCCCACCCAGTAAACGTGCATGTTTGTGGTCCCTACTATTTTAAAAATGGATAGAAAACAGGAAAACATCAGGAAAAGACAGACATGAATTTAAAAAACAGACAATATTAGTGTATTAGATGTGACCTTGAGTTAGTAACTTAATCTTTCTACACCCCAGTAAAATGGAAATAATAGTCAAGTTGCCCATGTTAAGTACTTAGCAATTAACAAGTGCTCAGAAAATGTTCATCATTATCGCTTACATTTAAAAATCCTTTTATTACCTGTCACAAGATGGACACTTGATAACTCACATTTATTACTGTTATTATTATTATAGTTATGATTTTTAAGATTAAAGGGAATCACCCTATAAAAACATCTATACTGAGCAAGCACAAAGCTGTAAGTTTTACATAAAATCCAGGATTGGATGAGGGGTTTTGGGCTTATCATGGTGACACTCATTCAAGCATATGTATTTCACATTTTCTGGCAGTTACTGAGATTTATATCCTAGAAGACACTGCCTTGGGCACAGTCATTTACAGAGTAGCAGCCAAGGATCCAGAGGATGCTGTTTTGGAGGTAATTTATGGCTGGGGGCAGAGACTTATCAGTGCCTGGTGGTTTTATGCATAACTGCATTCACATATAAAGCCACGGAGAAAATTGGGTCAATTATATCAACAATTCAGGTTCCAAACATACCTTTTGCAATTATCAGGACATTTCAATGACTGAGGGCTGGGTTGTCTGGGTAATAGCTTTCCTTCTAGTACATTCCACCCTGTGCAGGCAGGCCCTGCCTAATTTTTAGGTAACTTTGACAAAAGATGCCAAGCCATTTCATTTCATTCTTGGGAATTACACACACTGTCAAGAAACAATACAGCTTTCTGGCAAAATTAATTTGTATTTCAAAATTCTGGGTCTCATCCGCAGGCTGTAAGATGCCCCAGGAATATACTTACTTTCAGAATAGGTGTCTTCCCATTATAGATACCACAGGAGGGGAGGAAACTATGGACTTGATGTTAAAAGACTTGGATTTATGTTCCATCTTCACTGCTACAATCCATTTAACATTTCTGCTTTTCTCTTTCAACCATCAAATCAGGAAAAAGATGTCTGCTTTGTCTTCTCTCACATTGCTTTCCCTCACACTATAATGAATGTGAAGTTAGTTTTTAAACTGTAAAATATTTTGCAAATGACAGGATTTATATTTGCATCTTTTTTGATGTCATGTGGAATGATCACAGCACTGCTAGTCTGTAATATTTTTAGCTAGTGGATTGATGGACAAGAATATAATGTCTTTAATCTTCAATGTTGTATTACTTTCCCAAATTGGCTAAAAATTAGAGAACTGAACATGCTGATGTTGGACTTTCAACATTCACAATTTAGCGATAATGCTCCTGAATCCTTGTTCAAGGCAACTTGACTTCTACAAAACTTCCCTTAAATAGTAAATGGCCACTGTAGTTAAGGCATTGTTCCCATGGTTTCTAAAAGTATTGAGTACACTTGAGTAACTACACAAGGGAACACTGCTCCTGTCAAATTCCCCCACACATTTGGCTCACCCTCCTCCCAATAGCACAATACCACATCCAGAATGGGACTGGAAAGGTCAGAGCTTCCTTTACAACATGCAATTAAGCCACCTAATCACGCATATTACTCCAAGTCAACATGTTCAAGATTATAGTATTGAATCTAGCACTGAGCAACGCTAACCACACGGGACTCAGATACCATAAAGCAGTTGCGTCCTTGGTGTTCTCCATGGCAGCTCACCCACCATGTTGACATTTTAGGGTGGAAAACACATCAGAGTCCAAGAGGGCTTATCTGTGACTCTAACATGCAATCACAATAACTTAGTAGCCAATTAACACAAGTAATTCACTTCAAATGAAGGACTCCCAGATGCTTGCTCACACAGATTAAATGCTTCTAGCCCTGGCCCTATACTTTTCCCAGAAGAAAATTGGTTCCTGGGCCATATTTGGAAGACTCATGCAATGCTCCTTGTGAATTTTACCAAACATGGAATGACATTTCAGTGTTTACACAGGCTGTGGAAACTTACATTTAGATGCACTCCTACACACATCCTTCTGACACAGTAGATCAGACCAGATGTGTTATTCCAGTACTTATGACTGGGCAGCTACTTTATTTCAGCCTTCATACTGATTCTGAGAAAACTGGTTCTAATCTGGGGAAGAGCTCATCAATGTTTTGGAGCCTGATGTCTGATGATGATAACAGAGTATTAATAACTGCTAAGTGTTTATACTTAATATTATTGAATCCCCATGTTACTCCTGAGTAGATGCTATTGTCTCCTATGATATCAATTAATGGATCAATACATTTAGTATTATGTCTTTAATTTATAGATGAGGAACATGAGGCTAATAAGATTAAGCAATTTGGCTAAAGAGTAAGTAGTGAGATTGAGATTCAAACTCATATCTATTTTGCTCTAGAGCCTGTGTGTTTCCTTTTATACCAACAAAAGCATATATCAGAGTATTCCACACAGCATAAGCTCCACCAGATGCTCTAGGAGGGAAACTGAAGATCCTCTGATGAAAAGATTTTGGGAAATAATGTCTACCTCTCTCCTCTGAATTTACCATAAAACAACATATCAAATGCTCTGAAGACTTCTCTAATAGCAGATGCTTCTTTAATCAGACTTGTCATAATTATCTGTCCACATCAATTTTTTTTGTAGATAATTATTTTTTATTGAAGGGTAGTTGGCACACCGTATTACATTAGTTTCAGGTGTACAACACAGTGATTCAACATTGATACACATGATAATTGTAGGTACCAGCTATCACCATACCAAGTTGTTACAATATTTTGACTACATTTCTTATGCTATACATTACATCCCGGTTACTTATTTATTTTACAATTGGAAGTGTGTACTTTTTT